CTTCTACTGATTACAGTTTTATTGTGCTACAGGAGGAAGGGAAAAACTCCATGCCAGCATACTTCAGATTTTTGACATTGCTGTCTTTTCATGTCTTCCTCAAAGAAAAGGTATGCAAGGAATTAAATTTTATCCCTTCTTTGCATTACAACAAGAACAATTAAATTTGAGTTAGTGAAACATTACAAAAATTGAATTTGTTATTTATTAACTTTTCAATAGTATAATTATTTTGATCAATTTTGACCGTTTGAGCTTGTGTGATTATATTATTTTCTAAGACCAAGTTAACATTTCCAATTTTGAAAGATTTTTTTACCTAAATGTTTCAAACTAAGGGTAAATTTAACTGTACTCTTTTTTAAGGTTGATGTGGTAGTTCTTGAGGTTGGCATTGGAGGTGCTTACGACTCTACAAACATTGTCAGGTATCTGATGGGTTTTTCCATCTGTTGTATACTCTATAATTACAGAGCAATCAAATCCTTGAAATTCCTTATACACTAGTGTTTATACTGAACAAAATGTTTGATTTATAATAGTAATATCCTGCTATGATTTTGTGATTAACCTATACATGTATCTATCCAGAAATCCTGTTGCTTGTGGAGTGACCTCTCTTGGCATGGACCATGTAACCACATTGGGTGGAACCATAGAAAGTATTGCTTGGCAGAAGGCTGGGATATTTAAGGTAAATACTTTTTCACTGCCATCAGTAATATTTCAGTCTGAAGAGTGAGAGCTGTACATGAAATTCACCATGTTCCTGCTTAGAATACTCAAAACATTATTTTGCAATATTTCTTCATCAATGTAAGTTGCATTTCATTTCCAGCCAGGAGTACCTGCTTTTACTGTCCCACAACCAGAAACAGCCCTGGAAGTTGTTGCTGATAGAGCAAAAGAAATAAGGGTACTTACAAAATCATTTTAAAATTTCTTTCGACCTGACCAATTTTATGCTATTTTTAAGAATGTTCTATATAGTCAGGCATGGTTATTTATTGTAATTACATTTTGCAGGCTCCTCTTTTTGTCATTCCTCCCTTAGATGACTATCCAGGAAGCCTACCAGGTATTCATGCTAAATAATTACCCTTTGGCCCTTTCAACTCCAGGATCTCAGTATTAACTCTTATCACTGCCAACCATACATCTGTAGTTTTCTTAAGCACATTCTTATCACCTGTGTGCTTTCACAATATACAGGTTCTGGAAGGTGAAAAAATTAATTTTACTAACAGCCCCACTAGTAATTGCAAGTAACGACAGTCCCAAAAGTGGGAATGGTAAAGGTGTAGGAATAGGATTATTTATTCTCCAACTACACTTCATAGAGTACAAATAACACCATAGATGAGTACAAATATCACGCGGAATTTGTACTCTATAGTACCGGTTAAACAGGTTTTCTTGCATCAGGCAAGCGAAGAATTGGATTGTAGTTACGAAAAAAAAAAAATGGCGGACAATTTGAATCATATTTCCGATGACAAAGAGTCGGAGTGGCTGGCAAATATAGATCCAAGTTTAGAAGATGAATCAAACAAAGAAAAACAGCTAGACGGCTAGGAAATTTCTTCATTTATTGAAGAAAATAGAAACAGCAACATGACAATGTGCCAATTCTGTTCTGCTTTGCATACTTCTGTCAAGCGCTCCCCTTAAATAAATATCCGCGAAATTCGCCTGCACTGAAATAACACTTTGGCATGTTAGATAATAAATATCTTATCAGACGTTTTGTTGTGTAGTATCTCTGAGTATTTTCACTCGTTGTTTGTATTTTGACTCGCCCTACGGGCTTGTCAAAATACAACACAACTCATAAAAACACTCAGCAATACTACACAACAAAACGTCTAATGAGATATGTGTACTTCCATGTTCGTAACCCTTGACTCCCAAGATTTGCTGGTCAGTTCTCCCCTCCAGCTGATACACATTTCATTGTAAATAATTACTTACAAGAATTTGGTGTTATATCAAGAGAACAACTTCTGCCGGATAAGTTTGAGTATTCTCGTTACCTGTTTGCTGGATAATGTATGAATATCATACGGAGAAGTTACTTGTTAATCACTCCTGGAACTTAGAGGGTTATAGTTATTAAATTTCCCAAGAGAAGAGGTAATAATTTTTCACGGAAAAAGTGAAACAAGAAAGTCTTTTATAGAGGGGGGAAAATTAATGTATTCTACTAAGCTTTAGGGCAAATTGTAGGATTGCCCATATTTGTAGTCCTACTTTGGCCAGATAGAATAATGTCACAGACGTACCTTTTCTTTCCTTTTTGCATCTTTTGAAAGATCTTGGTCTGGAAGGAGATCACCAGCTATTGAATGCATCCCTTGCTCTACAGCTTTGTCAAACATGGATTTCAAGAAGATACAAGAAGGCTGACAATTGTGAAGGTTTGATTTCCATTTGGTTGATAGATTATTTTTAATTAGTGATTAGTATTCAGATAATTAGTTAAAAGCAGCCAGAAAATTGTTTGGTACATGCTTCTAGGGAAAGGTGAGATTACAAAGTAAGAGGGGCAACCCCAACCATTTAGGAAAAGTTTGAAATGAATTTTGTTATTTATCTGACTACATTCAATTGTTTTCACTTGGTGCTATATATTAAACATATCTGATTCTTCCCTATCCTATAGTGGAAAATGGAACAAGCATTAAAAGAGCATCTACAGAAGAAAAGTCATCAGATGAACCCTTCAGTAAAAAGGCTAAAGTTGAAGTTCCTGTTGCACAAATATTTGAAATCTCCAATACTTTTAGAAGTGGTAAGAAAACAGTTTATCTATTTCATTTATCAGCCAAATACCAAAAATGACTTTACAACCAAACTTTGTCGTTGAAAATTTTGAATAAAAATTCCTTAACTCAGGCTTCAAAAACCTAGTACTGTTGAAATTATATGCTTTCTACAACTGATTCTGACATAACAAATGGAAACTTTGTCAATCAGAAAGTAGTTTATTGACTTCAATTAATTCTCGTGTCAAATGTGTGAACGTAAGTTGAAATATGTATGAATGCCCAGAGGATTTTATTTCTCTGTCTCATCAACAGTTTAACCCTAACATCAGTATGCATATTCTCCTTACTGTTCTCTATAAATTTCTTAAGGTGTCGCCAAGGAGTGTTCATTCTTGTAACCTTAATGTTTGATTCTGGGGTGATATTGTAAGGAGAAATAAGATGCTAGTTACAGGACAGGTGTCCTGCATTAGGAGCCCTCACCAATCAACTTTGATGTCTGCTCCTGCTGAATAGAGGCTTACATACATAGGTTATGCAGTAAATGGTTTGAACCCGGGGGTAACATGTGAAGGTGTTGTCTGATCGTCCGGGTGAGTGTAGTCCTGAGAAGGACTGTTGTCGGTGGTAGTGACTGACGTTTCGACAACCTGTGCGGAAATCATCATCAGAGTCAAGTGAATGATTGTTGTCAGTAGAACAATCATTCACTTGACTCTGATGATGACTTCCGCACAGGTTGTCGAAACGTCAGTCACTACCACCGACAACAGTCCTTCTCAGGACTACACTCACCCGGACGATCAGACAACACCTTCACATGTTACCCCCGGGTTCAAACCATTTACTGCATAACCTATGTATGTAAGCCTCTATTCAGCAGGAGCAGACATCAAAGTTGATTGGTGAGGGCTCCTAATGCAGGACACCTGTCCTGTAACTAGCATCTTATTTCTCCTTACAATATCACCCCAGAATCAAACATTAAGGTTACAAGAATGAACACTCCTTGGCGACACCTTAAGAAATTTATAGAGAACAGTAAGGAGAATATGCATACTGATGTTAGGGTTAAACTGTTAATGAGACAGAGAAATAAAATCCTCTGGGCATTCATACATATTTCAACTTACGTTCACACATTTGACACGAGAATTAATTGAAGTCAATAAACTACTTTCTGATTGACAAAGTTTCCATTTGTTATGTCAGAATCAGTTGTAGAAAGCATATAATTTCAACAGTACTAGGTTTTTGAAGCCTGAGTTAAGGNACATCACAAACGACCGAAAAAGAACGACCTAACTTTACCGACAGATCGAAACAGACCAATCACGACCGACTTACGTCACTTGAGTCTTACAGCCAATAACATCACGGCAAAACCAACCGATCATTTCACACGAACTGGAATAAGAACATTCTACTGACAACAATCATTCACTTGACTCTGATGATGACTTCCGCACAGGTTGTCGAAACGTCAGTCACTACCACCGACAACAGTCCTTCTCAGGACTACACTCACCCGGACGATCAGACTACACCTTCACATACATGGGTTAATTAACCACTCCCCATAGGGGCTTTTCAGGGCCAACACCCACCCATCCCACCCAAGGGAGGACATCCACCACACAGTGATCTCGTGCATGGTAAATTAATGTCTCCTACCCCTAACCCTGCAGGAGACGGGGCCTACGGTTTATTCGCCCTTATCCGAGAAGACTAGAATATCTATCCATTTCTTGATTATAGAAAGGTGGAAAATTCTCCTCACTTATTTTAAGACCATGAGTATTGGTCCAGCCAGGGCTCGAACCCTCGACCTCCCACACAACACAATCAGGCGCTCTGACCAATTAAGCTAACCGGGAGGCTTCCTTTGAATACAGGTTCATCTTGCAGTAGATATGTGGCAGGAAAATTTGGTCCTTGGGCAAGCGTCCAGGCAGTGTGGGGTTTGCAAAATAAGGCATCACTGTATTTCTTATTTTCCCCATTAATTGTACCAGGTTTGAAAAATACCAGATGGTGTGGACGAAACCAGGTTATTGTTAGACCAGCAGTTACTTTCTATTTGGATGGTGCTCACACACCAAGGAGTATGGAGGTAAAAGAATATTAACTGTCTGATAGCTTTTCTGAAGTTAAGATTCAAACTGGAACATGTAAAGGCTGGTAGGCAACTTTCGATTGAGTATCAATAGTGACCCTGGATTGCTTAGTTTTTGCTTTTCTTTACTTCGTGATTGGTCCAGAAAACTTGCATAACTCACTCAACCAATCAGATGTGAAACTAAAACCAACCATGACTTGATTGCCCATGTTTTCCCATTATTTAGATGGTTCGGTTGTTTTTACTTGACTTCTTATTGGACCTTAAAGGTACTTTCCTTCATTCTGATTAGCCATCACAATGTCTCTGTTTTTGATTTTACAACATTCAATCAAGAAGCACCCCCATGCATTTCAGTTCTAAATCAGATCCTTAACCTCCATATGGGTATAATTTGATGGCATGAGGTGGAAAGCTCTGACTGATAAGGCTTAATCCCCTGTGACTAGACGTGTGCTTAAAAATTATGTTCAAAATTTTATTTAGATGCCTGGGATAGGTATATACCTCCTTGCTTCACTTATCAACCTTCATGTAGTCTTACCTATGTCATGTAGAATTTTGTTTTGTATTAATTTTGCTTCACTAAAATGTCATACCTGTAGAAGGGGTTCAAAGTTTAGCATTGTTACAGCATCCACTTTCTTTCACATATTCTACAAATTCTCTCACTGCACCCCTTGTCAGTGATGCATTGTCTAGAGATTTTGTCTTTATTAATAGGGGTGTCTTTCCCATCTGGGCTTCACTTAAATTTGAACCATTCTGCAACTTTTCAAATACATTGTATTTAAGGCAATCTGCTGTCACTACAAACAGATAGAGACAACTGATAATTACATGGGGAGAGGTGGGCAAGTTGACAAACAAGAGTGAGAGAGGTGGCAATTCAAGAGTTTTGGTCCATTTTACAATTGGGTGATTTTTCATCATTCTGGTGTTTTAGGCTTGTGCCAGGTGGTTCAAAAAGAGGGCAGATGAGGAAAAAGTAAAAGAAAGGTGATGCATGGGATGAACAGTAATGCAAATGAGATTTCCCATGCAGTTAAACTAGAAATTTAATGAAGGAATTTCGATCCTTATTTTTTGCTATTTTTGGTTCAACGCCAAAGCAATGCCAAAGCAAGCTAGTTTAAGTTACTCACCATTAATGATAGCTTTTATTTTTGTTGTGACAGTTTCATATGAACACTATGGAATTCTATTCTAAAGCAGAGTTATGAAAACAGATTATTTGGGAAGAAAGGGTTGAGATCTCACCTGCACAGTTTGCATGAAATGCCTGTGGCTGTGATGGAAATAATTGAGTGGATGGAACTTGACCTGTCATGAAAATGTTGGAAAATTAAATAATATTTTAGGATGCTTAATTCTCCAACATTTTCAGGTATAACCATTCATTTATATCTTGAATACCTTCCAAGTATACTGTACTTGTCACTTTTCCATGAGTAGTTTTACTTTTATAGTACATTTAGAGTGCACTGCAAAATTTTCTTTACCTTTCAAGTGTACTTCAAGTATGCTTTTGGGTGTTCTAATTTCAGGTGGTAATGAGTATGATACGAGTATACTTTTAGTAGCTCTTCAAACTATACTTCAAGTCTACTGAAAGGATACTTTGTGTATCTTATTTGTATTACACTGATTAAGTGTACTTAATTTTTGACAGATCAGAAGGCAAGAAGTTCTAGTGTAAAAATTATGTACTAGACTTTGTTAGTCTTGGATCAAGGCAAAAGGCTCATGGTCATATTTCCCAACGTTTTATTTTTGCTATAGAGGGACTGTTGCACGAGTGTTGCTATTCAACTTGACTGGTGGGCGTGATGCCCATGGTCTTCTTAAACCAGTTATGGTAGGTATTCAATGAAAGCATTATTATTTTCTTTGGTGGTGATTCATGAAACTTGCAGAATGAATAGCTACATGTATCATAAAAGAAAAATGTCACAGGCATTGATCTAGTCTGATCTACTTTTTTTTTATTTTTGCAGAAATGTGATTTTGATCATGCAATTTTCTGCCCCAATAACATCAGTCTGAATTTGAAAAGCAGTGATTCAGGTACACAACAAGTAATTTTATTTTGATATTTTGAGGTAACTTGAAGCATTTTTTTACATTTACATGTATCCCCGTCATATGTTTTTTTTTTTTCCAATTTTTCTTTCTCAGATCTGACAAACTTTACTGTAAGTCGCGATAACCAGTTGCGATGGTGTGTGGAGAACCAACGTGTCTGGATGGCTCTGAGAGGTGCAGGCTTCCAACCTCATGCAGACCCAACAGGGAACTGTACAGAAATTACAAATGGTGACCATGTGATCAAGAATGGTCTAGATGATGGCCCATATTCGACCATATTTCCTTGCGTTTCTCAAGCAATTCGCTGGTTACTAGGAGGGAGAGATTCTCTCATAGAAGAATTTTGCCGAGAGGATTTGCCAGTACCAGATTTTATTAAAAAGGCTTCAAGAGTTCAGGTTCTAGTTGGAGGAAGTTTGCATCTTGTTGGTACTGTCATGAAAGTTCTGGGACCAGAAATTGTGGGAGATGTTTAAAATAGATGGCTAAAATAGATGTCAAAAGCATATCCACACCCACAGAATTCTACAGCAAGAGGTCACAGGGAGTTATTCAGCTATTGGCAGCAATTGAAAATGACTCAATAATCAGTGATTGAAAACTTGCTTTCTAGAAAATGATGATGTTGGTAGTGGTTGATACCCAAATCTAAGAAATTAGCTGACCAAAATAAGTGTGACATAGTTAATGATATAACTTTGTGCATAATTTTTGATAATCCACCTGACTGAACTAAGAAAATTGGTTGTTATATTATGTAAGGAAAGATAACGAGGCTACATTTTTCCAAATATTTTAGTGAAAGTGTTGTTCATTGGTTTGTATGTATAGATATATTTATTTTGGTAACTTACTTCTGACAGTCACGTCTTTGAAAACCTGTTTCTTTGAATAACTTGCCATATTCTAGTGGCACATGATTTTGTTGGCTGAGGCTTTATTAAGAAAATTCATTGAAGTTGTTTTAATCAATTTGTAACCTATCTACAAAGTTTAGATTATTGCATATTATTTTGTTATGGGTTGAACCACAACAAAAGCAGAAGAAATCAGCTATGGTGTAAATAGAATATTAACACAAATGATAGAACTTACAAGCAGTAGAAGAATATTACTGTAAATTTAGAAAAAATCATTTATGATTACTGTTCATTGTATTCTAAGTTTCTTTTTCTTCTCTTAGTCTGTAAATGCTGTAGAGTACCCAATTCTAAAATCTAAATCTAAATATCGTTATGTCGGCAAAATCGTTTAGGACATCACGCCAACTCTAAGATAATAATAAGTGAAGCTATACTAAATATACAACACTATTAAAAACTATTGAAAATTATTAAAAACTATTTAAAACTACCGATAAATAAATTTAAGTTAGTTTGCTTTTAAAAATACGGAGGGATTGGCTGGANACAGTTTCTTTTGGGAGTTTGTTCCATTCAGTTATTGTCCTGGGGAAAAAAGAAAATCTAAAAATATCTTTATGTCCTTTCGGTACAATAAATTTAAAATCATGGCTTCCTCGGGTTCTCCTTTCTTTGTTTGTTATCAAATAATCCCCCCAATCCCCATCTAGGAGGCCGTGGCACATCTTGTACATAGTGGAGAGCCTTGCATGTCTTCTCATTGTTTCAAGTGTGTCCCACTGTAGGTCTTGCAGCATTTCCGTCACGCTCGTTGTTCGATCGTAATTTCCAGTGACAAAGCGGGCTGCTTTCCGCTGTACCCTTTCTAGAGCGGCTCTATCTTTCTGGTAATGTGGGTCCCATGCGCTACAGGCATACTGGAGTTTTGGCCTCACAAGTGTCATATACACGGTTTCTTTCACTGACTTTGGACAATTCCACAGGTTTCGTTTGATAAGTCCCAGGACCTTATTTGCCCTAGATGTGATTGTTTCGATGTGTGGTGATGATCTTCAATAAGATTTTGCAGCAAAATTCTCTGAAAATTTCTTAGACATATCTGAATTAATTGATCCCCAACTCAATTACATGTAGGTCACTGGGAATGAATTAGTTTATGTTTTGTCTCAGAATTTTGTCCAGAGAAACATGAAAATTGTGTGAATAATGAAGATTTTTCTTTAGGGGATTGAGTCAAAAATGGTTTTTCTTTTTTCAATTTATTAATGTTAAAGACTATCTCCCTTAATGAATGGATTTGTGTAAGTAATTAAAGTATTTCACTGTCTTAGATTCATACATTATCTGTACAGAAAGTTGTAAATGCAAAGAAAGAACAGATTTTGTTACGAAGATAAAACAACACAAAATTGGACAAAAACACTTCAAAGCCAATTTATTCAAAATTGTTTTAAGGGTAATTTGCACTCTATTTCAATAAGCTTTAATTCATTCAACTATAGTATAAACTTGCCAGCAAGTTAAGACTTTAAGCAATTAAATTATTTCTATCGACTGGTATGTTTAAAATTTTTTGCTGTTGCGCAATCTGCAACAGGTCTATGCAATTATGTATGGAAAACAAGCAATATTTTTTTATAAATGGCCAGCCATCAACACAATATAGAGAGTATTCTGCAAAAATACTTGTTCTGTTTGTCACTTCAAGCTTATTGAACACAACAATTTACAAAACCAAACCTGTTACAGCTCTAACAATACTGAAGAGTGACATTACAGCTTGTAATAAAAACCTCTTTTTAGTGTCCATTTGCATGAAAACTTCTCCCTTAACTGGAAAGAGACATCAAGGCCAGGGCAGCAGCATAATCGTTCCATGGTTGTGTGTAAGCTGCTTCTGTGATAACTGTTAACATTACAACCAGAAAGTAGCAATGTGAAGGTTGTTTAGTGTAGGTCTTCCATTATGGTAAGCTACTTATGCATTCCTAGATGGCACTGTAAATTTATGGCTAGCAACCCCACTTTACTTTTGGAGACTTAAGGTGGGTATTAGAAAAAAAAAAAAAAAGACCTTTTAATTTGCAGATCTTCACATTGTGAAGAATTTTCACACTGAAGAATTTCTCCCATTGTGTAAACTCTGATTTAACACTCCACCTCCTTCCCTCCCCACTCACCAGCTTATTAAAAAAATTAAAAACAAAAAAACAAAAACAAAAACAAGAGTAACGTGTCAGATTCATTCGGTCTGTCACAAAGGCTGCCTAGATTCCTCAACGAGAACAAGTTTGTGGTTGGGTAGAAGATCCATGTTTTTATTATCATGGTAAAGAGGACATTTATTTTCCACGGTGTGTCAAAGTCGATGGAACGGACAGAAATATTAAATATAAAACTGACCTGAATGTAACGAGAGGGGAACAATGTTTCCTTGTCTGGCCATACCAATCAATACCTCGAGGGTTGACAACAGATCAAAGTCACGTGCTTCTAAGAGTGATGTTAGGAATATCTTAGAAACATCTGGGAATAGACTTCCCAGAATCCACAAACATCTCGTTACCCTGTTGGAGTCGGCAACCCGTGGAGCTGTTTGAACGCCTGATGGTCCAGGGAGGTCTTAAGAGTTTCTGGGTAGGACTGGAAGAGTTTTATTCAAAGCAGTTACTTCACAATCATGGTACAATTTCGGAAACTTTCTAGATTAAAAAACTAGCGGAAAAAATCCGAACTATTAAAATCAACTTCAAACACGTTCGCGATTCCTGTCTGAGCTTGTCTCAGAAGGAGGTCTGAAACGACTGGAAGTTTTGCTGAGAATCGTTTTCTTCTATAAGCTACAAAAATTTAATAATGGGAGAATCGAGACGCAGGAAATAAACAACGATTTTGGTTTCATGAGAAAGATCTAGTCGATCTGTGTTTGGTTCCTTTTGAGTGACCCGGTAGTGACTGTGCAAGCGTTTCCTCGGGATATTAGAGCCAGCCTTCTTTTTTTTTAAACGACAATAGGATTTCTCTATTTTCCGTCTCTGAAAAAATTCAGAAAACCACCGTCACATTTAAATTCTTAGATAAATAGATTTACAGTGGTCATCATTCCAGAAAAAGTGGTGTCGTACGCGAATTGTGTTTCATCATCGATTTTCTTCAGGGCGAAGCAAGTTACACAGCATACGTCAGTGTTAAAAATGATTTTGTAAATTTTGTGACAAGAACAGTCATTTCTGTAGATTATGGGCTGAAAGTCTCTATAACCAAAGAAGCATTTACGAAATTTCTCCGTGAGATAAACAAATGAGATCAGAAGGGCCGATTTTGATATCGGCAAGAGTCTGATCAGAACTCACCACATGAAGACTGAAAGTCTTGTTTGTACCCTGTCTGTCGCGAATCCTCCACAAGCAACCGATCATCTGTTTGGCGTCTTATAGCTACTTGTGCAGCCATTATCTGTCTTCTCTTCGTTATCAAAATACAGTTTTGACACTCGCAGTCCTTCCACTTACAAAATCTTTTATGCCCTTTCAGCGTGGTTCGAACACCATGGTGCTTGCATCGCGCACATAGTGGTGATTTTTTCGGCGAAATTAGCATTGATCCCTGTTCCATGGACATGATTTTAAGAAAAATCCTTACGAATCTGGTCTGAAATCGTGTCTGAACTGAGTGACTGATTCTATTCAAGGATTAAAACATCGCCTTTGTGGTATATTAATAGCCTGTCACAATTGTTACGATCGGTCATCAAAAGGCCAGGGGCAAATGCTGCAAGTTTGGTAATTGGGTGATCTAATGTCTAAAAGGGCGCGAAAAAGTTTTCCCGCCAAATGCCGACTAACAACAACTAAGAAACAACAGACGATTTGACACCCCTTTGCCAAACGCTTCAAACACTGAAACAACTAGAAAAGATCTCTTCAGTATAAGTGAGATCAAATCCTTTATTTAAGCATCTTGTCCGTCTGAGCACTCTTTTTGTTCACCATAAGGTGAGCATAAGGCGCCAACCCCTTGAAACGCATCAGTTGATAAGTGACACGTGTATCCACCAATCACGTGCGTGAAAATTTCCTTGAAGGATTTTGTCGCTGAGCAAACCAGTCGATGTTCTTCGTTTTCTTTTATTGTTTATTTCCTTGTGAGACGAACCGCACTGTAAATCAGTTCCATAATCATAATAGGGAAATTTGGCCTTAAAGGCAACTGCAGTTGGCCTCCAGGGTCCTGTAGACTTATGACATCAGCCTGTCTTAACATTGCAAACCTTTTTAGACGATCAAAGTGAATAAGTTATATAGAAACTGAGGTGCTGTGTCGGTGGGAGTAAAGGTAATTTGGTTTTATTAACTGAGTCGATAATGTAAGCTGGCCACCGTTAAGAGTTTCAAAGCTAACCTTTCGAGCGTTAGCCCTTTGTCATTCGCTCTGACGAATGGCTAACGCTCGAAACGTCAGCTTTTAAACTCTTTACGGTGGCCAGTTTACATTATCGACTCAGTTAATAAAACCAAATTGCATTTTTAAATGATCAACTGGGGTAGGTTTTAATTCTCAAAGAAGGGGAGTACTACAGCGGAACTTGTAACCTGGGAGATTTTGCTTCCCAACTATCCGTTCAATTTCCCATTAAAAAAAAAAAGAAAGTGACCTTAAACATCGACAGCACCAACATCTACTTATAACGTATTACTACAAATTAAGAAACCAAACACAAATTCAGAAGGACACATCTTGGCAAAATGTCAGCATTTGTTCTATACTTTCAAATCAACAGTCAATACCTTTCTCAGTTTTTCAATACACTTAATTAAGATTCTAACTTCCAAAATCCCTTAAATATTTTCCACATTATTCTGTTGGAATGTGAGTTGTGAAGGCTAGTCAGCTGGTTTTACTTCCATGGCTTGTTCAATTTGAGTCAGTGAACTGTCCCACTGCACAAACTGTTTTGAGAGGAGATTTATCTGTTATGCAACAATTAAGGAAAATACAGAATTTTTGTCTGTGAATTTGTAATAAAACTTGATTGGTTCTCAGAAAGGAAGAGGAGCTCATTCTTTTGTCATCAGTGATAAATCACAGATGACATAAAAATGTAGTAAGAACTTCAGTGATAAACTAACCTTCAATGCCATCTTTTTATTCATGGCAAATTCTGATGACACTGATGAATGGACAATTAATAGTCTAAAGGGAAACACCCATTTCACCATATCTTAATCTTGTCCAAATCTCTTTGAGTACTGAAGAATTTTTCAATTTATAGACAAAAATGTTGTCGACTATGGCCTTGGCAGAAGAAATCTCGCAAAAGTCTACGACAGGATGGGACAACACACCTTAATAGGGCCTAGTATGGGCTGAGGGTTTACGAGAACCACTAAATCACACCAACACAGAGATCAACACACTTCCCACTCAGCTCCCCAGAATATTGAGTAGAACATTTCCCCTTGACATGGAATTCATCACAGGAACAATTTAAAAGGATACAATGTTGTTATAAGCAGCTAGAAGATTATGTAACCTATCGTCCGCTGCATCAAACTCTTCCTGTAATAGAAAAAAGTTAACATTTTTAACTTGATTATCTAGTGCGATCAAGTGGATATTTTTCACTTGGTTTGATTTTGTTCAAATCAGTGTTATATTTATTTTCCTTTGTTGTGGATATGAATATGATTACAAGACAAAGAAAAATGAAAACTTAGCTACTTCCAAAAAGTTCTAACTATGAATAATATGTTGAACCACAACACACCAGCCACATCAGTGAAAGTTATTTCATCCTTGTGTTTAAATAGGGAATGCAGTCTTTCAGGAGAGAACAAAAGGTTGCTTCTAGAATTCAGTTGAATACTAATTTGTATTATTGGGCAATTATGAGATATTCAAAATACCTTTTGCTGAATATGAAGTTCTACCAGTGGTTGCAGTTTGGCAGACCAAGTGGGCAAATCTGTGTTTTAGGTCAAGTTAGAACAAGAAATCTAAGACTGAGTAATGCTTTATTCTGAAATATAATCATTCATATGAAGACCAAAACAGCACTGATTTTAATTACTCCTGACAACTATCTACCCATAGAATTTCCATTTATAGTACGTGAATCATTACACAATATTCACAGTATTTTTACAGTTCTCATAATTATTTTTACAATCATTAGATACACCTGAAAGTGTAGTGTGATCATCCGGGTGAGTGTAGTCCTGAGAAGGACTGTTGTCGGTTGTAGTGACTGACGTTTCGACAACCTGTGCGGAAGTCATCATCAGAGTCAAGTGAATAGTTGTTGTCAGTAGAATGTTCTCATTTCAGTTTGTGTAAAATGATTGGTCAGTTTTGCCATGATGTTATTGGCTGTAAGACTCAAGTGGCGTAACTCAGTTGTGATTGGTCTGTTTCGATCCGTCAGTAAAGTTAGGTCATTCTGTTTGGTTTGTTTGTAATGTTTATGTCGTGAATGAGTCATTTATGTGGAGCCAGTAGTAGTTGACACCTGTCTAGGGGAGTCTTATGATGACTTCCACACCAGTTGTCGAAACGTCAGTCACTACAACCGACAACAGTCTTTCTCAGGACTACACTCACCCGGACGATCACACTATACTTTCACATGTTACCCCCGGGTTCAAGCCATTTACTGCATTAGATACACCCTTAGTTCTAGTTTGTTTTAACCACTTTATTATAGTGTCCCTGATTAGTAAGTTACTTGTGGCTAGCTAGAAGACTTAGAAACTTAAATAGAGTTGTTGGTTGATTGACTGATTTAAGTTAGTATATTCAGGATGCATTCAGACATTTTGCAGGAACCAAAAGAACAATACTTATCAATAAAAGCAAGAATAGTATTTAAAAAGATAAAACTGATATCTAATGATAAATTTGTTCATAGTCATACCTCAGTTTAAAAAAAGTAGGATGGGCTTAATCTGCACGAAATGAAGTCTTAACTAAAGGGTTATGTGATATAACATCAACATGCTGTATTGTAAAACTGTTGCAAACCTTTTATGGGTTCTGTGGTCACAACCTTTTTCAAATCTTCAACTTGCTGAAGCTGATCAGCACATGCCTTTAACTGGCCCTCACCTATGGATGGCAGGATTTTATTTTCAAATAACACAGATACATCTCACAAGTAAAATATTGGTATTTGAAGACAGAAATATTAATCATTTCAAACTGAGAAACCAAAAGAGCCAGGTCAATTGGGTCCTATATCACTGCAGGGCCTTTATTCTGACTTAAGGGAATAGGCTAAAATGAAGAAAATCATCCACCCAAGCTCTACATCCCTCTCTTGGGTAGGAGAATTTTAAGATAAGTGAATAACCAATACCCTCAATTGGAAATCACAGAAGTATCAAACCATGTTGAAATGTAGAGGAGGTTGAGGTCTGATCTTACACTTAGCCCCTGGCATACTCCCCCTCAAATTTCCTATAATTCCCTTCCCGTAGTTGGTCAAAAACTGGAATTATTGACACAAAAAATAACTTAACCTGCTATGATTATGTCAGCCTTAGAATCATCTGTTAGTGTTGCTTCTTCCAAAAACTCAGGAGAGAGAAATTTCTCCAGCTCTTTAACTGATGATAAGAAAAGTTGGAAACAACAATTCAACTTCAATTACTCAACATTATTTGTAGATTGCATTGAGAAACACCTCTGATACAATCAACTCACCACCACAAAAATCTTGCCACTACTAAGAGGTCAATCATCACCAAAGGCAATTTGACTCAGATGTTCTGTGTAGCCTCTCAAAACTTACATCAAATAAAAGCTTATTGCAGCAGTATATTGTGAGATTAGAAGTACATACAAATTTAATTTCCGGGACTCAGACATTACATGTGGCATCTCAATTGTGGAAAGTCTACCGTTAAACGAAATTAAACAAGATGATATCACAAAGATTTTCAAGATCAGTTTGTGCACAGTGAGACATGAGTTTCACTGATGTTTATAAAATTGTATAAAACATCAATTGAAAGCTGAGATATAGCAGTACTAGACTTGGGTTCCATTCTTGGTGCTAAGCACAAAGATTTTCAACATGACCTTTAGCACAAGTTTCAATCCTACAAACACAATTCTAAATCAAATCTAACGAAACTTATATCATATGAAAGCGGAGACCTTACTTTTGTTTTTTTGGTTTTCCTTTTAACAAAGATCGTCAACAAATCAATTCGCCACCGGTGGCGATTTGACTCTCAGAAGTGGCGAGTTTGTTGTGGTGGCGAGCATGACCGGATACCATAAGTGCGACTGCTCTAGAACTGGTTAGCACTGCACTCTATTGACCCGATCGAGCGAACAAGCAAGCTATATTGGAAAATTTTTTTTAACAGATAATTTGCATTTCCATTTTCTAATACTTTTATGGAGTACACTATGGTTCCATGATTTTATTTGGTGTACCCAAGCCCAGCTGTTAATCGGCATCAACTGCATAGGAACAACGGTCACTGCAGTATGTAACAATCATATTTTCACTAATAAAAGAAAAAATGATCATACCTCTCTTCCACACTGCTGCTATTCTAGAATACTTTGATCCAATTCTATCGAGATTTTTCTGAACGTTGTTTAAAGTTCCCAAACACTTGGAAAAAAAATCACAAACATTTCAATCAATTTCAGTTGCCAAATTGTGTGAATACGCCATCAATAAATATCAATGTAGTTACCGATGAACCCTTAAGACTTTGGAGGTCTTCTTCGCTGGTAAGGACTTGTCTTTCCAACTCAGAAATTCGTTTTTCAAGGCAATCTACTGCCGCTCTTCTATCTTTAGCAGCCATTTTTGTTTATCAGAGAGAAAATTGGAGCCCGCAGTGTAACAGCGAACCGCTTTAATAGTCATGTCAAAACGCATCAAATATATATGCCATGTAACAGGTTACATAATCATCAGAATCTCCAGGCCGCAAATGGCGTCTAAACAACGACGAGTACATCACACAATTCACTGGTTTCGTAAAGGACTACGGCTGCACGACAACCTTTCGCTTAAGGAAGCATGTGAAACAAGTTTAACGCTCAGACCAGTGTACTTTATTGATCCAGATTATGTCAAACATGGCAACATGGGATTCAACCGATGGAGGTTTCTGATTCAGTCTCTCAGTGAGCTGGACAAGAATTTGAAGAGTATAGGGTCGAGGTAAGACAAATTTAGAAATTTTTCGCAGAACAAGTTATTTATTAGTACCTCCTCCCCTGGAAGAACAAAGAAGTAGGAGGAATTTTTTTTTTTGCGCCAAAACCACAAAATTGGCTAAAGCAATTAGTATCAGAGCTGCAGGTAGAAAGATCCTATGTTGCTGTGCGTTTGTATTGCAATAGATCACAAATGACGTAATAATGAAGTAAGAACAGAGAAGGGGCACACGAGATGCAGCCGAGTGTGTCACTGATGTTATTACCACATTTTGATGTCTTCAATTCTGCAACTTATTTTAGAACAGATGCACAGCAACATAGAATAAATTTTGTACTTGTTCTACATAGTAAAGAAGCAAATTTTTGTGAATGCTTACATCATTTATGTTACTGTCCTCCTGTACATCACAAGAAAGAAACAATTAAAACTTGTATAATTCAGCTTTAATGATGATACAGAATGAATCATTGACTGATATCATTGATTACTGGCTGTATTTTGTTTATTGATTTTCACTGATTTGTGAAACCAGCTCAGTTTCCTACTTTTAATTTTTCCGCGATTCTTTTATATCGAAGGCTATTTGTTATTCAAGGGAAGCCTGAATTGGAATTACCTAAACTTTTCAAAGCATGGAAGATCACAAAATTGACATTTGAATTTGATCACGAGCCTGAAGGAAGGCAAAGAGATGCAAAGATTCATGAACTTGCCACCAAAGCTGGGATCCAAGTTGAAACAAGAATCTGCCATTCACTTTATGACTTGGATAAGTAAGTGATAATCTACAGAATTTCAGAAAGGTACATTTTGTTTGACCACAAATATAAACACTTTACCTTGTTCAAAATACCCTGTAAAACGACAAAAAAGAAACCTGCACAAAGGCAATTAGATGCTTCAAATTAGACCTCTAAGTAAAAAAAAACTCACTAGCAAGAGACAAACTAGATACAACAGTTACCACCCAGACTAAAGAAAGCTGTCTTCCAAAAGTAAGTTCCAACAGTGACTGTACAGGGAAGCTTGTATTGCATTACAGTCATGGTATTGTGTGCAGTTTAAGCACTGGTGACAGATGGAATTTACTGGTTTTAGTACAGAAACTCTCCCCTCTCTCGAGATGTTGGAATTTGAGACTCAAGACTCAAGAATATGAAAATTTTCAATAAACCTCTTTGAGACAAGTGTCTGAAGTTTTTGGCTTGATTGTTTGCCAATCTTAACCTACATTTTTGTCGTAAACAATTGCTGAATTTATCTCCCTCCAGGATTATTTCCAAGAATGGAGGAACAGCTCCTTTAACCTATAAAAAGCTTTGTTCTGTGGTGGCATCACTAGGGCCACCTTTGAAGCCCATTCCCACTGTAGACAAGATAACTTTTGATGGATGCTCTACTCCGGTGGGTAAAGAAAACAAGTATCAGCTTCCGACACTTGAGGAACTGGAAATTGAAACACCTGAAGAGTCAAGTACAGTCATTTTCCTTGGTGGGGAAACTGAAGCCCTTAGACGACTTGATGAACACATGCAGAAAGAGGTCAGAAGTTTTTTTATTATTATTATTATTATCCAGAAAAAAAACTTAATCCTCATACTTCGTTTAATGTTTATCTCACATTTGGTGACATCAAAATTTTTGTGGAGGATCAAACTTCAACTGGTACCTTCAACCTGTTGGTTAAAGAACCTTAGACTTTTAGGACAAAACTGAGATGAAATATGTAAATAGAGTGTTAAGTCAAGCAACATTGTAAATTGCTTCCCTTAAACAAAACAGCTCTGCTCAACATTATTCCTCTGAGATAAAACCTGCACTTTCGGAACTCATCAGTTACACCAACAAGTAACAGTTTATTTTCTTTAGGTCTTAATTTGTTTACCAAGACAATCTCCTTGCAGATATAACTGATTTATGCTCTTATAAAAGTTTAACACATTTTCTTGCAGGACTGGGTGAACAAGTTTGAGAAGCCTAACACATCACCCAACTCTCTTCAACCCAGCACCACTGTTCTCAGTCCATATGTGATGTTTGGCTGTCTCTCAGCAAGGCTGTTTTATCACAGACTGTCTGATGTGTATTCAAGAGTAAGTCATGATATCAGGTGCATCATTTAGACTTCAGTTGAAATGGGAATGATCAGTCTGGAGGTAATATCATTTACTGGTAAATTACGAAAGATCATAGGAGGTAATGGGAGAAAGGTGTCAAAGGAAAAGCTATGTAATTTTGATGTTGATTTGTCAAAAAATGACTCAAAGTTAAGGCCTTTTTCCTGTAAAGTTTAAAAGTCAAATGTGTTTTCAGATCTTGAAAAACTATTCTATTTAAAAAAATAAATAAATAAATAAAGTGACACTGAAACAAACCAATTGAAATTGGTTTCCTTTGCCAGAGGGGAGAGTTATTGACTTAACTTAGTGTCTCTATTTCAGGCAAAGAAACATTCTAACCCACCAGTCTCCCTACATGGACAGCTATTGTGGCGAGAATTCTTCTTTACTGCAGCATATGCTACCCCTAACTTTAACAAAATGGAGGGCAATCCAGTCTGTTTGCAAATTCCATGGGAGAAAAATCAAGAGTTTCTCCAAGCTTGGTGTGAGGTAAATCTAGTTCACTGTGCCAGAAGAATTCACACCATCTAGACTTTGGGAAGAAGACACTGAATAGTTTACCCATAAGCTGTAAAAAGTGTACATACATGTACCTATAAAAATTATTGATACTGAAGAAAAATGTCAAGTAAGCTTGTCCCACACTTTCTTCTGAAATGTGTTATTTATTGGGTTCATTTTAACCCTTTAACCTTTAAGAGGGATTAGCATATAATTTCTCCCTACATTATCACCCTTAAATCACTCATTAAGGTCAAGAGAATTAAGGAAATGATCACCAACTAAAGAAGCTCTTGATAGTTAGACAAATTCTTCCTGTCAGCAACTAAGGAAATGTATAGAGAACAGTATGGAGAATATATGCATACTGATGTTAGGGTGTAAAGGACGAAGGTTTTGATTGTTAAACAAATTCTCCTTGTCAGCCCCTAGAAAATGTAAAGAGAACAGTATGGAGAATATATGCATACTTATGTTAGGGTGTAATGAGTTCACTGTATTCTCCCAAATTTTTGTGAAATCATTTGAAATTAACAATATGTGCAAGTTTTACGTAAATCTGTAATTTCACTTCAGAATCTTGGTCATGTATTTAAGTATAACTTGCAAACCATTGCAAACTGCAGGCTCTTCAATACGGATTTGAACAGAAAAGGAAATGGGAGTCTGTCTAGTATGCTGACCCATTCTAGCTCTGACCAAGCGTGTCTTCCACTCTGTAGTCCTTAGACCCTTTGGGAATTGGCAATTGAAACCTACAGTATGGCAGACTATTTCATGGTGAAAATTTTTAACAATTACTATCAGCAAGTCCTTTGTAACACTTTTCATTATAGGCACATACTGGATATCCTTTTATTGATGCCATTATGACTCAACTAAGGAGAGAGGGGTGGATTCATCACTTGGCACGTCATGCTGTGGCATGTTTCTTAACCAGAGGAGACTTGTGGATTAGTTGGGAAGAAGGACTGAAGGTGACTAATTCAACTAAATTCACTAAAATCATCAAATCCATGAACATTCACTTGGTTTGCCATTCTTATTACTGCACACATTTTGTAGACATAAGACTGTGCCCTGAAATGAAATCCTGGGATAGCTCTAGTTGAGGTAGTTGCATTGTTATTAGTTAATTCAGACCATTGAACTTCATACGACAGCTGCTTTGTGGTTTTCCTGAAAGTTAGCCATAGTTTGAACCAATGCAAGCTATGGTTGATAATGTTTATGAGTTCTATGTACTATACAAGCTGTTATAACTTTTCAGTTGCTTTGTTTTACTGTGGCAGGTGTTTGATAAGTTGCTTCTTGATCATGATTGGAGTTTAAATGCTGGGAACTGGATGTGGTTGTCAGCTAGTGCATTTTTTCATGCTTACTACAGGGTTTACAGCCCAATTGCATTTGGTAAGAAAACAGACCCCAGTGGAGATTATATCAAGTGAGTGTCTTCTCTACACTTTTTTTTTTTTCATACTTAGATGAAGACATACCTCAGATAATAGAGTGTATTCATAAAAACATATACTAGAACTTATATAGATTATTCACAAGAAGTAGTTTAAACTTGACATTCAGGGCAACAAGAAAAATAATTATTTCTTCAAATTTTTCCTTCTTATGAGTTTTTCCTCCTGTCAACTAAAGATGAATGAACATACTCGAATTGACTTTAGAGCATTAATTCTGAAAATGCCTAGAGGGAGATAGTTAGCAGAATTTAATTTTTTTTCTGCCTTCACCTAAAGGCATAGTGCTTTACACATCTATTCAGTAATAATCAGAGCACATGGAACTGCTTTGCCTTGAAGTCAATCTTGATAAAGGCTGCTCTCTGATTAATGTGGAACATGTGAATGGAAACCAAATTGAATCCAACTGGCTAACAGACCAACTGAAAATTGATTATTAGACTAGAACATGACAAACTGCAACAAGGGTTATTTCAGAAAAGTGGTCAGGGCTTTATCATATTGAAAACAAAACCTCATTTTGCTTTGCACCCAGAATTTAAAGGTCTGAGTTTGAGCCCTGGCAAGCCGTTTTGGTACGTCTTTTGCAGAACACATCATGTTCACAATTAGTAGATGTTACTTGTTTTGAACTCTGGAATACGCAGCAAAAACTGTAGCAAAACATGGGAGAATTATGGGGATTACTAGCAATGGACTAATATCTCATTTAGGGGAAATAGCAATGCCCCTACATGATGTTGCTTCATCTGGGACAGAAACCAGGATAAGCTACAGACACTTAGACATTCAGTCTTACATGAGGATTCATCTTATTGTTTGTTAAAGGAAATATCTTCCAATATTAAAGAAGTATCCACCCAAATACATCTATGAGCCCTGGACTGCCCCATTAAGTGTACAGAAAACAGCAGGATGTGTGATCGGGAAAGATTATCCTCGTCCAATTGTGGATCACAAAGAAGCTGTGAAAATTAATCTTGCACGGATGAAAAAGGCCAGAACAGAGGGTGACAGTAACAATGGTATGGAGGAAGGTAAGAATAGTCTGATCAGAGTTCATGGCTATGTAATGATACTTGTTGTTGGTCAGATAATCATAATTTTAGTACTGTTAATATCTTTTTGTGGTAACATTATAGACTCCTTGGAGAAAAAGAAAAGTTCCCCTGCAAAAAGGAAGAATAGCAAAGAAGCCCAATCAAGCAAGAAGCCAAGAAAAATAACAGAATTTTTTAAAACCTTATGAAGCTTTTGTGTCACTTCAAGGTACAAGTCAGTACTTGACATTTTAGCATAAGAGCTGCTTTTCTCTCCATTTACTCTTTTGGGTAGTGCAATCTTTCTTGTGTTCAAAATTGTGCTACCAACTCCTGTAAGCTCATAATCCAGCTAGGTCTAGCTAACAGATGATTCCAGCTGGTAGACTAAATGTGTTACATGAAGCATCTTTAGAATGTTAATGGCAGCTTTAGAACTACCCTTCATACTGTTCAAAATTGTACATTTACTTTTGTATTGTGTTCTCTTCTGCAAAATTGAGAGTAGAATAAAGTTTTACTTAGCCAGTAATGTCTCCTCTTTGTCTTTGAAATAATCTCATGGACCATACATAAACTCGTTTTCTGTTGAAAATAAAAGAATTTTCAACAAAAATTATGTATTCCAAAGTATGAAAATAGTCATCCATACTTTGTTCAGAAACCTTCAAATATGTTAACAGTTAAAAGGTTATTTCTGTTGAGAACATTCTAATGGAGCTAAGAACAGCAATGCTGAATTTCTCAAGGTCACTTTTGAAGTTTTCTCTTTTTTATCTTGCTTTCCATACCACTCATCCACTCCTCCCCCAAGTCAACTGAAAACAAGTCAGATGCAACTGTTGAAAACAAACTTTTAATTTAGGGTAGTCGCTCGAGTGAATTCTATACAAGGTTGAACAGAAATTTAAGAACCAGTCCCTATCACTTGGGGAAGTTACAGGAATTTTTTGAAATTATAGTGCTCCCTGTATCCAAAAGAGCTGTGTACACATTTCATATCCATCAGCAAAGAAATTAACTTCCAGTCTACCATGCTTACTAAATAAAGCACTTTTCCTGATTTGTATGTACATGTAATTCTTACACTCAAATTAGTCCTAGAATCTTAGTATCATATTTTGATGAGCACCAACCAGCTTGTCTGCCCACAATCAAATTAAAAACCTGCAGGGAGAATATTCAAGAATGGCACAGAACAGTAACACTTTTAATTGCTTAGAAAGTTGTACACATTTTATCTGTAACTAGATGAGTAGTATGATTGTTCCAGTTCATATAAATTGAGAGCTAGTTCTTGTTTTAGGTTCAAAAGTTGTTGATCTGTCTGATTTGTCATGTCTTGAAGAGTGCTGCTTCGCTCAGAGATGGTGGCATTTACAGATGGAAAATCATTCAACATTAGAAATTCTTTCATGTCTGAAACCAGCTTCAAAAGAGATTCTCCAGCCCTTACCTACAAAGAACAACAACACATTTGTTTGATGGTGCAAGTGCTAAAATACCAACCTTAGTAGCACCCTTTTCAATAGCCTTTCACAAAACCAATTGAAGTGATCACAACAGCTTGGATAATAAAACCACAAGGAGTAAGTAAAAATTGAAAATGGCTTCAAGTGAGTTACCCATGAACGATTGATTCTGTCTTTCTACTGACAGGTTGAGAGGGAGGCACAATTTTTCTAAGACATCAGTATGCATATCCTCCTTACATTTCCTATGATACTGACAAGGAGAAATTATTTTTTAGCAATAAAGAGCTTTTTCAGTTGATGATCATTTCCTTTTTCCTTTTGACCTTAACCCTTTTCACCCTAACATCAGTCTGCATATTCTCCCTACTGCCCTATCCATTTCCTAAGGTGCTGACAAGGAGAATTTGTTTAACAATCAAGAGCTTCTTCAGTTGGTGATCAATATCTTGATTCTGGTAACCTTGGTGTGTGGTTTAGGGATGATATTGTAAGGAGAAATTAGATGCTAGTCACTCTCGGGTCAGAGGGTTAAAAGATTTTCAATGTGCCAAATAGCCTTAGCTGCCATGAACTTAACTAAGTTTACCAGCCAGGTTGTTTGGATGTGGAGAATTATTTGACTCCTCATTTTCTTGTACTCAAATGAGAATTGATAGTTTCAACTTACAATATTGGCTGCCCTGACATTAACTTCATATTGATCTTGGGCTGACTGTGTCAGTCGTGATACCTGTTTTTCCTCCTCAACCTTAAAGCAAAACAAACTTCATTAACGTCAATAGCTTGCCAATAATAATAATAATAATAATAATAATAATAATAATAAAATAATAATAATAATAATATAATAATAATAATAATAATAATTTGGGTCAGACAGGAGTACTGTGGCCAGTTGAACAAACTTATAAAGTTGGAACTCAAACACAGATCATTTAAGTTTCACTGATGAACAAAGACACCATAAAGAAGTCCTTTTTGTTAATGTTAGCAAGTTAAGTGTTTCATGAGGTACCAATTTAGCTACAATATTTTTTCTTTCAAGGCAGTACACTATACACAGTTTCTGTGCTGTACATTAGCCTCTTTGTTTGAACTTGACATGATGACCCAATCTGCTGTTATCATATTAAAATCATGTCAAGTTAAAAGTCTGCCTGGTTTCCTAGCCCCTCATTCATGTAGTGTTCTCAAACTTTGGCACCCTCAGAGAGTAAAGTCTTTTGCAAATTGTTTAAAAATTGAATTCAGTCTAAGCATGACATCATGAATTATCAAACCTCGTGTTAATGTTACCTGCCTCGGCATTGATAATTATGATAACATGCTCAACCTCATCCAATAATTGCTTAGTATTGATTGTTATGAATCAATGGTAAAGTTAGGTTTCTCGAGCGGGAGCAAGAGAGTTACAACAATTTCGTATTTGAGTGGAAAACAACTGGAGACTTTATTACCCTGACCATGATGCATAGTGCACTGTAACATCTCCCTTTCTCCTTTTTTTTTTTTTTTTAATGGAACAGGATAAATACAACTCTAGCAGTAGCAACAAAACATGTGAAAAGTGAACAGCAGTTCTGTAGCAGTTTCGGGCTGTAAGACTAACAAATGTGACAAGTGCTGGGTCTCACAGCATACTAGTATAGCAGCCAGTTAAAAGAAAATGAATAATAAACCAATAAAGTCTAAGAGAAAAATAAAAGAGAGTTTGAGGAATGTTGTGATATGTCTATGTCATCACTGCATGTTCTGTTTGACATGACTGATAGGGGGAAACAGGTAGTTTACAAATCAAGGCGTATAATGGGTATAGATACCCATCCTGGTCTGGTCTTGGTCAGGGTTCCTTCCTTCGGACTTGATTGGATGTGTGAACCATTCGAAGAGTGTGTTGCAGTTCCTGTAGGGTTCAACTCCATTGGGATGGCAGGGTGGCTTCAGAGGGTAACGCTTTCTGAGGTGATGCTGCTAGTGGTGTAGGGACCATTTTAACAGGAGTTGCCCAAGTTGAGTTGGTAGTGATGGTTTGGCGTGGTCCTTTGGATGAAGATGGTGGCAGCACAGGCTTGGGTTGTTTTGAAGGGTGGTCAACTATAATTGTGGGTGGTGTTTTGGCAGATAATCGTTTCATCCAGGGGTGGGGGGGGAAGGTGGCACCGGTTTTCTTCTTGTCAGCCCTGTGGGGGTCTCAATAATGTAAGACCAGGGAGCTGGTATTGCAGTGACAAGCCCATAAAGCCAAGGGCCACTTGTGGTTTGGTGTAGACAAAGTCGCCGATTCCAAATAGGGGTAGATTGGTGTTCGCCATCGTATCATAGTGTTGTTTGGCCTTTGCATGTTTTGCTGCAACAGTATCCTGGACAGATGCTGCGGTGTTGTCATTTGGCAGTAAGAGGGCTTGGGAGACTGGGAGTAGTCCACGGATGCGTCACCCCATGCGTCTTTGGACTGGGCTCATGATGTGTCCTGCCTGGGGGGTATTGCTATAGGTGAGGAGGGCTTCTTCACGAAATCTGTTTTAAACTTGTCTTTGGAAGATCTGCAGACTTTTGCATGGTGGTTTTCAGTCATGTAGCAATTGGTGCAGTAGGTGCCTTGTAGCTGGGCAATCCTTGTGGGGGTGTCTGGGACCTCCACACCATCCACATTTTGCTTGTGGTGGAGGGGGGGTTGGTAGTCAATCAGTTGACTTGTTCTTCAACTTTAGGAGTAGCTGAATGCATGATGGTTATGTTGGTGTCGTGTGCTGTCTCCCAGGATTTTGCTCAAGCAAGTTGTTCTTCAAACGTGTAAGGTGTTTTACTATCTTCCTTGTAATGGTGAAGGAGGAGTTCTCTGAGATCCTTGTTGTAAACACCAGTGCATAAACGGTCATGCATGAGTTCCTGTAATGGGTTAGTCATTTCCGCATATCTGGTCTTTTTGGCTGTACTTCTGATTTGGGTCTCAAAGTCTGACTGATTCGGATGGTTTTTGTGTGCAATTGAAGAAAGTGAGTCTCTGAGGCATTACATCATCTTGTTCCACATAATGATCTTCAAGGTGCTGCTGATACACCCAAGGTTGGTCTTTCTCCTCTTCAGTGAATTTTTCAATGACCATGGTGTCAAAAATATTTAATACGTCCTCTGGAAGAGTGAGGTAAAATGCAGCAATTTCGCATTGTGCTTTGTTTTTAACCCAGTGGTCTGGGGACGTTGGACTTTTGCTTGTGTCTCGCCAGGATCGTTGAAGCAAGCACCAAGCGTTGAATTTTCTATGCCAGATTTGTATGCTTGCGGCTTTATCATCAGTGAGAGTTAATTTCGGAGGCTTGCTGTCGGCCATGTGCTTCATGTTTGATGAGTGCCAGTGCACTTTGAGTAAGTGAATGGAGTTGAGGTTCGCCGGTTTTCCCAGGTTGCGTTGGCAGTCTTTTGGGCATGAGGTTTGTTTGTTTGTTTGTTTTTCTGATCCCGCTCCTGACACCAAGTTAGGTTTCTCGAACGGGAGCAAGAGAGCTACAACAACTTCGTATTTTAGTGGAAAACAACTGGAGACTTGATTACCCTGACCATGATGCATAGCACACTGTAACAGTAATAAAGTTGTCCCCAACGATCGATGGATTTCATTTATAACAATCGCTTTTATTGATTTTATTGTATGAAGTTGATGAATTGATTAATTCTGCGACCATTGACTGGCCAGCTTCTACAAAAAGTTTCAGCAAGAGTACCATAAAACCCCGTACATTAATTATCCATTCAGACAAGTAGACTTTGTTTTTAAAGTTTTGTCGTGAAAGACAAAGAAGTGGAATGCATAATTAATGTATGGGGTTATATGGTACTCTTTCCAAAGTTTCAAATAATCAGTGACCCATATACGCGTATACGTACCTTTGAAGATTTAATGATTTCGGTGAAGTTATCCAGAATTGACTTCACATCATCTTTCAAGCGTTTGGTGTAAGACTTAAGCAGATTCTCTTTACTTTGCGGTAAAATCCTGCTTGGCTGTGACATTATTCTACTGAAACATGTCAGAAGCAAACAGTGACACAAAATTAACAGTCTTGAAATTTTCACAAGGGGAAATGGCTTCAGAATGTAACTCTTTGAAACAAAATTTAAGCATACTGTAGCTTCAATATCCTGTGATATCGATTTATCTAGATCAAAACCGGGAGATTTAGAGTAGCTGTTCCCTATCTTTGTCGGCCATTTTGTTTTCACAGTAACACGCCTAGCATTGTGGGTAAGGTCATAAAAATTCCCGAGAGCCACCGCAGTCTTCCTCTTCATCCGCCATCAATAAAGATGGTAAGTCTCCTAGAGTCAGTAATCTAAAAGCTATCTCTCATCCAGTGCATCCTACGTTTCTTCACTTCTTAGGCACTATTAAACTAAGTTTCTTCATGTGGCTGGTGTTACTGATAAACTATTTTCCTTTATTGTTGACGAAAAGAGCTTCATTTTCTCATATTTCGTCGTATGCTCCACGACCTATTGCTTTGTCTCATACCGTGATCCAAAACCCTCTTTTATCAACACGCTGTAAGTTGCACCCCTGATTAACTAGTTGTTATTTCTTATCAAAAGAAATATTGCGATAAATGTCTTTCCGACTGCTTTATGACGACTTGTATGATAGGCTGTTGTCGTAATTGCACGTGAGATCTTAGAGTGAACTCATTCCATATAACCTAAATTATATAGTTTCTTTTTATCGAAACATGCAAAGTTTTCAATCCGGAAAGCGTTGAGATTTTTAAGAAGATATACACATATTGGACAGCGAACTTTGACAACTTGGAGCTCATGGCATACGTTATTATTGATTAGAATAATTCAGTATTTCTTCGTAACTTCTTTCATATGCTGCTATTTAGGGTTACAGTTACTTATCGCTACTACTTTATTACCATTCGTGGTACCGTGTAAGCAGTTGAAGCCAGTTTGTTGTATTAATATGGTGATAATGAATTCCATTTTGTTTATTTCGTAGCCTAAATCAAAGAGGGTAAAGAAGGTGGCACCACCCCCTTACACCGCATCCAAACCTGTGCCCAAAAAGGTGGTCAATCCACTCATAGAAAAACGGCCAAGGAATTTTGGCATAGGTAAGATGATAGCAGTAACTTACATGAAAACATAGTGAGCTGATTTACCTGGTTGACTTTATGTAGTTGGATGAATGTAGAATGTGTGAATGTAAGGTTTCATAAATAATACAAATACTGGTTTTGTTGTCCCATGCTCGTGACAAGACAAACAACAACTTTCTCTATTTCTTTACCAAGCCCAAAATTTACCATCTTTCTTATTCTATTTGCAAACATGATGCTATCGACTTTGCCGATTTTAGCAGTGTGCAAGATGTGTGCCATATATGAACTTCGTAATGGGTCTTGCTCGTCATAGAATCAGTAAGGCTCAGTGGGAGAGCATGGGAGTGCAGAATCTGAAGGTTCGAGGTCTGATTCGTCATGGGAGCTCAGAATTTTCCTTTGTCCCAAGCTCATGACAAGACAATCAACATCTTTCTCTAGGGAGCTCAAAATTTCCAAACAAAAATTTACCATCTTTCTTATTCTGTTTACAAATTCCTATATTTTTACTAAGTTTTTAGTTTTGTGCAGTGAGTGTGTGGTTGTTAACTCATTGCACTTGACGGCTGTGTTTAAGGTTCTTCTTTTAATTATGTTAAAGAGTGTGATTGCAAAGATCATACCACAATATGTGTAATGATTGTAGACTTAAAACATAGTTTAAATCTAATAAACTATGAGGATCATTAAACCTCATGACTGAAGGATTGAAACCATTGCGTTCAAAAAAGGTTAGCTGTGACCTTTTTGGTTGTTAAGACCCCAGTTTTCAAATAACTGCAGTGATCAGTAGGATGCACATCATTTGTAAGTTCAGAAGTAATCCTTGTTCATTGCGTGATTTTGTTAGATTTCTTAAAAGGTGGACTTAGGAATCCATGGTTAACCTGAAATAGATTTCCTAAGGAATCAAATGTTGCCTCCATGACTAAAAGTTTGTATTACTAATGAATTTCAATTCCATGTTCACTTCTAGGTGGGGATATCCAGCCTAAACGTGACTTGACCAGATTTGTACGATGGCCAAAATACATCAGGCTTCAAAGGCAAAAGATTGTTCTGTACCAGCGTTTAAAGGTTCCTCCTTCTATTAATCAATTCACTCAGACCCTAGACAAACAGACTGGTATGTTCAACATTTTTTTTACAGTGAAACCCTGCTTCTCACAAATTTGTAGACCTTAATAAAGAAAAGGAACCTCTTACCTTTATTGGAGGGTTATGTCAGTTCAGGGGACATTTTTTGTTGTCCAAGAGGTGTCCCTTTAATGTAGTTGAACCTCATTTCCTAACAGTGTCATTGTTTGCTCTTGCTCTAGAACACATTTCTTTTTTACAACTACAATCTTTGGTGAGTTAAGCCTTCGCAAGCATTTGTAGTTTCACATTCTGATTATTTTTAAACCATGTGTAGCCACCCAGCTTTTCAAACTGATGCACAAGTATCGCCCAGAGACCAAGGCTGAGAAGAAAGCTCGTCTTACTGCTAAGGCAGAAAAGAAAGCAGAGGGTAGAGAAGAACCTGCAGGAAAAAAGCCAGTTGTGATCAAGTATGGCCTGAATCATGTGACCAGTCTTGTGGAGAACAAGAAAGCTCAACTGGTGGTCATTGCTCATGATGTTGACCCCATTGAGGTGAGTTAATTTCTAGAGGGTGTGACGGAGATAAAAGCTAAAACATAGGTATGTTTTACCACAAAATTCTCATCAGAAATTGATTGAGTTTACCCCTGGTGCATTTTATCAGTGGTTTTTAATTGTCAGTTAAGTTACATTTAATTGTTTTCCATCTGAGTGATGGACTCTGTCAAAAGAGTATCGAAAGGAGTTGTAGTGAATTAAAATTCCACAAGAGAATAAATTTTCAGAAAATCTGCCAGCAAATCTTTCAACAGGGTTCGTACAGGTCATGGAAAACCTGGAAAGTCATGGAATTTCAAAATTTCATTTTCCAGGCCTGGAAAGTCATGAAATTTAGGTCTGGGTCATGGAAAGTCATAGAAAATCAACATGCTCTCTATGAGTGAAAGGCACTAAGACCCAAAGTTGAAAAGTTGACTTACGAGTCCAAAAATCAGATTTAATTTCATTAGAAGTAAACAGAAGCACTCATTGTGAGAATGTTTGCAAACAGGTCATGGAATCTTTAAAAAGGTCATAGAAAAATTCATGGAATTTTAACAGGTGAAAAGTGTACAAACCCTGTTCAAATGGAATTTAGTCAAGTGGTCTATCTCAGGTACTAGAGATAACTGTAATATGACAACCTTTTCCAACCCCCTTGTCATCAATTTTGTCTGTGATTTCCAGTCACTGTTTCATTTTCCTATAAATGAGAATACATTGTAGGAGATTTCACTTTGAAGAAACAGTTGAGATTCCGATTCAGAGAAATGGTTAAACAAATGATATTTTTCTTGTAACAAATAGAGGTACTAAAAGGGTTTGTGACTTGATGTCTTTGCAGCTTGTTGTGTGGCTACCAGCACTATGTAGGAAAATGGGCGTTCCTTATTGTATCATTAAGGGTAAAGCTAGGTAAGTGGACATGTTAACTCTTCAAACCTCAATATCTGATTGTAAGTTTTCCTCTTTAGCTTCTACACTCCTCGTAAAGTAGTCACTAGAATTTGATGTTGGATCAAGATAACTTTTAACTAATAAGTTTAATTATTACACGACCCGGGCAGTCGGAGGGCCAATAACTAAAAGCAACCAATCAAAATGCTCTATTGCCAGTTTAATATTCTCTAAGTATTGGACCGGGCACTGTCCTGAATGGTCCCGAATGATACCACACTTGTCCCTTTGAACTTCAGTCGTATAATAAATCTCTTATTAACCAAGCTTACTCGGGACCGTACTGGAAGAATATCGGCCCTCAGTCTTTTTTGTACGGACCGAGCTGCGCTCGGTCCGTACTGTCAAGACCTGCGGCCAATATTCTCCCAGTACGGCCCTCACACTTGGTTAATAAGATATATATATTATCATAACCTGTTTTCTGGAAAATGTGTGGATATTGGACAGAGAAGTTACTCATTAGTCTCTTCTGGGTGTTAAGTGTAGAGTTAAAAGTTGGTAACATAGAGGTGTCAGGATATCTGTGGATTTTGTTGACTTTATTTACTCCTGTAGGCTGGGAAAAGTAGTACACAAGAAGACAGCGGCAGTGCTGTGTTTTACTGCTGTACGTCCTGAAGACAAGAATAACTTTACAAACCTCTGCGAGGCAGTCAAGACTAACTTCAATGAGAGGTTTGATGAGATCAGAAACCACTGGGGTGGTGGCATCATGGGCAGCAAGTCACAGGCAGCTGCACACAAGCTGGAGAAGGCTAAGATCAAGGAAATGAAAGTGTGATGTGTAAAAACTTCTTCACAATGTAATAAAATCATTTGCTGCTATTGAATTTGTCTTTGTTTTGTTGTTTGGATGTACTCAAGGATGTAAAGTCCCTGCCTCCTATCACATTCTTGGGTTCAAGTTAATTTCATTCTTTTCTTCCAAGATGGTATAAGTTTGAATGGTTTTGGCCAAAATTACAAAGGGGCAGGGTTTTGATTTTAGGCAATATCTTACCAAGAGCCTCTTTATATTGTTAGCTGGGTAGAATAAATGTATGATGGAAATGTAGTTTACTGTCAACTCTCTCTAAGGCTGACACCCTCGGTAACAGATTTACTGTCCACCTTAGAGAGAGTTCACGTAAACTGATACCCAGACATCAAAACTGAAACCCGGACATCAAAACTGAAAACGTTGCATTATTACTTTAAGTGTCCAATGTAGCCAAGACGGGTTAGCTGTCTGTTTTATATATTCTTTACCGAATCCAACACATCATACACACTGAACATTTGTGAATCAACCTTAACAAAACTTGTGTCCCTTTTTATTTGACATTACGTGGAGTCAGGGTTCATAACCCCCATTCACTAGGAAATAAACTTATTAATGTTGCACTGTGGTTGCGTTGCAAGTCTGGCATCTTGTAGGCGCAGTGAGATCTTCATTAATCCGGTCACCATATTGTGTAAAGCTTTCCTGGGAGTTTCACTTGATTACAAATTCAATTTTGAAAATAAAGCTTTAAGCAATTTAAGTACCAGTAATTA